GCTGGGTTTTCCCCATATTTTTTAATTTCTGTAGGATTATATCCAGCAGTAAAGTATGGTATTCATATGGTATTCAAATATAACTAGAAATGTTTAAATTGTTAACAGATAGATCAATTTTTTCAAATTTTGCTGTTTTCCCCTTTTTTCAATTTCTTTAGGATTCATAATAGGTAGATAAAGATATTCAAATACAACGAAATGTTTTAATAGTTAACATAAGAAAACAAAAATGCCGCCCTCACATCAGGTGGAGTCTTCTCCGCTGTCTGCTTGTAGGTCGGCCATTTTTCCTGACTGGGGAGACGGAAGACTGAAGGGGTCTGGTTTCCGCTGGGTTTGCTTCAGTTTTTACCAACATTTTTTGAAACTTAAAAGAACATTTAGAAATAAACACATTTTAGTATTATTTTTTAATCCTGCAAATTTGCTTCATATACTGATATAGTCTGATAATAATACTGATAATAATGTTATATACTCTATTATACAAGAAAGATGCCGATACAGTTTTCTAGTTTGTTACCGAGGGACAACCTCCCGTATCTCAATATTCTGTATGCGCATTGTTGAACACTTCATGTAGTACTGTACGAGCTTTTATTGTTTTGAATATCCAATTGTACATACTGTAAATTCTTCATACACTGTAAATATAATATCAACAACCTGTTATATTTCATATTTTATGTCTATATAAGAACATTGTGAAACGCTACTTGTACTGTACTTGTACTTGTACTTGAGTAGGTCTCCTCATCTCTGTGAGTGGCCTGCGTCAAAGTCGTCCCTCCGTCTGCACAGCGTCCTGCGCCATACTTGGCGGTCGTGGGCAATCGTCTTCAGGTCCTCTAGAGTCAGACTGGGTTAATGTAGTACTGTACGAGCTTTTATTGTTTTGGAGATCCAATTCTACATATACTGTAAATGTAATACCATATTCACATATTTTCCGTACATGTACTTAAATTACGAATACTCCTTTGTGCGGTTGGCAATGTTGGGTTGTCAAACTTGTGGGTGCAGTTTTTGGTGGCACTTCTGAGTAAATAAAGACATCATATCTGGTAACCCGACTGTGTTTTTGTTGTCTGTATGAGCTGATACGTAATGTTATGTGAGTCCGTTTTCCATACAGATACAACAGACGATTACAAGTAACATCTCTCGTATTCCCTGCCTTGCTGACAGAAAAGACGTTTGAAATGAGACTTGCTGTAGAACCTTTACGCCCGCACTCTTTAAGCGAACGCCAGTTGCGACAGTAAATCCACATCTTTACAGGAGGTAGGAAAATGAGAAAAACTCTACATGTACTCACCCCGCCATGTTGTCAGTCGGAAATGGCGGGAACGCCTGATTTACATACCTATAACATAGTCCGACTGTGCCATTTTGTTCTACAGGTAACTCGTAGTTTCCAAAAAGACCCATAGTTTCTTCTTTAGAAGCTTAGCCTTAAGGCCGTAGATACAGGAGAGTAGTTTTCGTCGGCCAGCGTTTTTTTTTAAATCATCCCTAACAGTTAGGTATGCTACTGTAGAATCGGGTATATTGTTACTGTTAAATAACTCCATAAAGTAACTTGCTTTGGAATGAAAAAGGAAACAAACATTAAAACAACAAAGAAACAAGCGCTGCGGCAAACTCTTTATTGTGATTTAACCCTGATACAGCCTGACAGGGAAACGTTTCAAACATGGCAAACCAGCTAGTGTACCATCTATTAGGAAAGTCAAGAATGACGATCTCATCTTATCTTAATGAACCAAATTAAAGTTAAGTGTCTTTCAAGGTTATCACATAACAAGATGACATTGTCAATTCAAAGTATGAATAGATCAATAAGTGGTGTTTGGGATTGTATATTGGCTAGCTGAGTATACAGTAAGCTGACTGACTGATACAGAGAAACAATATTTCTTTTACCAAAACTATAAGTTTTGAGATTTCACATATTCAAGAAAAATTGACAGTGAGAGTGGGAAGATGGTTTGCTCAAACGTGAACACTTTGTTTTGAATCCTCGACCTGTCAGCTGGGTCAGTGTCCGGCACCTCAAGGCTGGAAGTTGGCAGGACGGACCATCATTTTGGACTTTTTCAGATATGAGCTATAGGAGCCTCCAAACGGGCGCCAATAGATGCCGGCGCCACTGTAACTGGTACGGTCAGAGGGGCGCAGGTACGGGCCGTTCAGGGCAGATCCAGCACAGCCGTTGTACCACCACCCTCCCGTCCAGCGAGTGTAGTCAACAGCACACGACGCGATAGTGGAATCACGGTCTGCATTCCTAGCGCTGAAGGAATGACCCGATAGGTTGTAACCGTATGATGATGACTGTGATAAGTAGAACCCATCCCCAGCGGTCCCGCTGTACCCACCGACAGAAAGGCGATAGTTAGAACCACTACTCCCCACCGAGAATGACGAATACTTGGCGTACTTGACCACGCCGGACCAATCTTCAAGCTCTATGTACAACTCGTACGCGTCTTGACTGGTTAACCGGTACATATTCTCCAACCCCATCCAATATTCACCATTGGCTGACCCAAACCCGTGCACAAAGGCGTTATAAGGTCGGTTAAAGTCGATAGACCCGTCAAACCTCCTCTGTATGACCGTCCACCCTCCCCCATCTGTGGTCTGATCACAGTATACAGAGATCGGGCTGGTCAGACCTACAGGCATGATGTCGTGGACACCACTAGACACAGCATTGAACAGGGACAGGGCAGTGTGGATGTCAGAACAGACGGAAAAGTAATTTGTGCGCCCGCTGAGGGCCAGGGAAACCAGGTCTGGCTGAGGAGGCTGGCTGTCCGAGTCGCCTGGATAAGGCTTGTCGTTGTCTGCTTGGTCCTCTCTTTCCACAGCCAGTAGCGATTCTGTAAGGAGACATCAAATCGGAGGTTACTTAGACCCACAAGGCACAAGCTTTCCACGTGAGCACGGCATAACTTTTGCAATAGCAACATAGAAAAGACAATAGCTCCCTCTGATAAACAAACAACGAAACACACGATTGTTGTAATACAGGTACACTGAGGCCGAAAGAGCGTTTTAACTCCATGATTAGACAGTCCAGAGGTTTACAATAGATTTAAAAGATAAAGAAAAAAATCTTTAAAAGCTTTAAAACCTCCAGAAGGTTAATGCTATATAACTACAGGCAATTTCAAACATCACATAAACCTGAAAAATTTTATCAGCAACGCTCTATGACTTACAATATAGGTGATATTACAATTATAATCTAAAATTCAGGCTCGTCCCTTTCTTACTGTAAAGTACTGTATATAGTCTAGTATGAGAAGTATAGTATACATGTACAGTATAGTCTGAAAATCCCACAAGGCTGCTATGGTGAACAACTGCTGTTGCTAATTGTCGATACCACAACACATACAGCAGGGGGATGTCATTTTCTTTTACCTAAAAATACAGATACACAATAATGATAAAAAAAACGCATAATCTTGAGCCCGATATCTAAAACCTGTATAGCCTTCTGTGAGTTATATCTGTAAACACACATAAGCGAACGAAAAAACATATCTTATCCTTCCCTAGACTTAAAAGCCATGCACTAACCACAGATGTCGGGGTCGAGTGAACTGAGCATGCTCCCCGCAGCTCTGCACAGGTCCTTCATCGGAAACGTGACATCGGGGCTCGGCTTGGTCAGAGCTGGATGGAGAAATTATGAGATCTACATATAAACCTGAAATAACAGCATTGTCAGTGAGTCCCTTGAATCTAAAATATCATATAACAGAGGTAAACTAGAACCCTGGGAACACTTCGTCAATAAAAAGTTTTAGAATAACACCCCCACATTCTCAGGACGCACGCACTGAGTAGTTACAATTTGATTTGATTTATTGAAATTGCAACAGTGCAATACACACGGAACAGAGGGAGCTGTTGCTGGTGTTGTGTCACACATAGAAACGAATACTGGACAGGACAATACTCATTTTCACCTGAGCGAAGTGGGGAAAGCCGTGTAAAGTGCCTTTCCCAAGGGCACAAGATCGGTGGCATGTCAGGACTCGAACCCGGGACCTCTTGGTTCCGAGTCGCGCACGCTACCGCGTTGCGCCACACGACCCCACGATAATCCGAAATTGTAGTTACATGCGACGCGCCTTTCTGTCGCGTAAAGGTTGTTACATCTCCGTCCACCTCCTGCAGGAGTATTGTGGTCAGTTGGTTTTACACATTTGCAGGTAAAACTTTCTAGGATAACTTAATCAACAATGTTTCAATCTCAGTAAAAACATATAAGAAACCCATATAAGGAATTTCATTGTTGACAAGAAGTGTCAAAATAGCACATACGCCTGGGGTCAGTTTTGACTCCACATGGTGGTTTGGGGGTTAAAGAGATGAGTTTGTTGCTTGTGCATTAAAAAGACTAAGTTAGTATAGAGTTTTTCACCAATGTACAATTTGAACATAACTTGCAGCATTCACAGAGACTTGTACTCCTGTTTCACTCTCTAAAGGCCCGGTTACACTGGCCGAACTTTGCTGGAGCGTTCCTTGAACGGTGAATAAAATTCATCACCGCTCGAAACCGCTCACCACCGCTAAACAGAAGTTGGCCCCCGTTAAAGCAACGCCGTGTACGCCCGGCCACCGCTGATGTTTCTGGAGGGGCCCTCCTACCGCTCCGAAAGTTTTGAGCTGCACAAAATATTGCGAGCGGTGAGGAGGGGGCAATTTTCCGCCCCGGCAAAGTTCACACCCGCTCCACCAACGCCCAGTCAAAGTTTGGCATCGCTAGACGCAAGTTCGTGGACGCTTGGGTCCGCTAGGCCAACGCAGAAATCTTGAACGCTAGACCACCGCTGCTTCGCCAGCTTTTCCCGGGCGGCAAAACTAACGCTCGCTACCGCTAAACCAACGCTAAAGCAACGCCGGCTTCAGCGGTGCACCGCTAAGCCAACGCCCGTGTTTTCATTTCCCCCCACATTTTGGACGCGGTGACGCTCCAGCAAAGTTCGGCCAGTGTGACCGGGCCTTTAATATGATATTGTACTTCTGTAGTACTACAATATGATACCATCCCTGGACCTAGATTGAATCTGGGTCTAAATTTTCTGCACGGGTAAATTAATAACGAAACATATTGTACAAATAGATTCTATTTAGCATTCATCACCTACCGATTCCTTGGCATCCTTTCCGTATGAGGCACAAGTCGGAGGTGCTCCATGGAAGGTGCCGTGTGTCCTGCGATGTCCCACAGACGGAGCTGCAGACGGCAGTGATGAGGAGGATCAGGTACAGCATCATGGCGGCGGTCAGGCTAGTCTGGCTACAACCCTGATGTAGGCTCGTATTTAAACCTTCCCTACACCTGCCCGTATTTACATGTCACTTCAGACAGAAATAGCTTAGAATAAACTGACCCTTTATCTGCTACTTCGTTCCTTCCTTTGTTAAAGTTGACTCAACACTGAGCGAGCCAAATGTACCAAGGAATTGCCAAATATATTTTAGACTGGTCATCTTTTTGGCTATTTGTACAGCTGTATAGTGTGTGTACTTTACACACCTTGTTAATTCTACTGGTATTTAAAAATGACTTAATCTTTCCCCTGCATCGGCACGTGCTTTTGGTACGTCATTCCTTCCTTTATTAAAGTTGACACAATACTGAGCGAGCCAAATGTACCAAGGAACCATCAAATTTCATTTAGCCCAGACATCTAACTGCATGGCTACCTGTACAGCGATATGGTTTGTTTACTTTACAGAACTCAAGCACTTCTACCGGTTCTTAGAAACACGTTTATCTACATGTATGTCAGTAACAACTCTTCCTGATTGTCTACATGTACCTCCCCCCTTTATTGAAATTGACAAAACACTCAGTTGAACTTATTCTACCATATACCAAGAAGAACAAAGCGTTCATGTCAGATGGTGGGAGAAGGATTTTACTAAGCACATGCTTTGTAAACAGAGTCTAAAACGTTACATGTAGGAACAGAAGCGGTCCGACTCCAAACAACAAACGTCCTTCCCGACAAAACAGAAAAAAATCATTTCCTCTTGTTACATGCCGATATTACAGATTACCTTTCACACTTGCTATACATGTTATATTTTCTTTCTAGATAAGGATACAGAAATATGCTTAAGCAAGAATAAACAGAACCCGTCCGCCCGGACAGTGAGTTCAGCACCAAGGACAGAGCCGGCCGTTTTCTGTCTGTTTCCTCTCGCCAGTCCGGGCCACGTTAGATATGGTGTTGATAAACCCTTCCAGTCCACAGAAACACCTGGGGTTTTGAGTAAATCTGCACATTTTAGCAAAGAACAATCTTTACACTAGTCCAGAAGCACATTCTTTTGTTCTGTTTTCAAACATAAGACCACACCGCCTTAATTTTATGGATGACATCCTCTGAAGACACCCAAACTAGTGCGCGCGGGCGAATAGAAAATTTCCGGCCAAAAACAAAAATGCTACTAAACCACCACAGGAATACAAAGCTGGTGTTGTGAATTTGTGGCAGTACATTTGTAACATAGCGACGTATACGACAAGCCGGCACACGCTGGATTTTTTGCGGAATTTATGAATCGGCACTGTACGTATATACTGAGTTCTTTAGTCGTGTTATGTACATAAGTGTTTGTGTGTATGGGATGGAAGATCTGATTTTGTTCTTCCCGCCGCCGCCTGTGTTTATGACGCGGTTCTGGAACAATGAGGCCGCCGGGAGATGTTCCATAGCGACGCGCCGACCCGTCAACACAACCGCCTCGATGTCACATCGAACGGCAGCAAAAATCAGCCGCTCCTCACAAAAACGATGGCGACGCTAACCAAGCTCTTTTCCCGGTGCCTGTCCCTGTCATCACAGGTGCTGCCCGCTAGGGGGCTCCACATCCCCGCAGAAGGTCCCGGCTGGGACTTCATCACGGTAAAACTTGCCGCCAAAATCTTCTGTTTTCTTCCGTGCTGAACGTTGGTTCAGATTAACCCTGACATTCGGAAACTTTAGTGTACTTCTACCGTCCTGCTATCTTCCGTGCCAACAAACAGACAACCTGTTAGTTTGGGATGTTGTTTACTTTTTATCAATGAACGTTGTTCGCTATCTTTCTGTGGGTTCTTTGGGGGTAGAACTTGTGGGATTTTGATTGAAGTTTTCCCCCAGTGTTTGTTTGCTTTTGTTTGTTTGTTTGTTTTTTGTTTTCTCGGGGGTCTTCAGAGTCGAAGACATTTACGGTACTATAAACCTGGTGGTGTCGGTACGTCCGTACGGTGTCTACAGAAACTACCTGAACCTGATGTTTTAATCTGCGGGCGGTTTGATGATAGAAAAGACGTTTTTATTCCCGATCCTGTTGATATTTACGGGAACGGTTGTTGTTCCTCTCCGTGCGGAAGGGTCTGGGGAGGCTGGGGAGACAGATTCCGGCACAAGACCAGCCGAGCCGCCGCCGCCCCGCCCGCTCACAGCCCGGCTTCAGTGTCAACGCAATGCTGTACCAGGTTTGTTTGTTTGTTTATTGATAAATTTAAACTCAAGTCAGTCTGTTGAAACGTTTCAGGGACGTCATGAGAGCCAGACAAAATATAACAATATGATATACTAGTAGACAGAGGTCCTGATAACTTCTCAAACCTACAGTCCTAGTAAATCTGCCTGGGGTCACAAATACGCTACACAGTTGTAGGCTTGTTTATTTGTTTACTTGTTGTGCTACCTGTCTACGTTAGAAACTGCACTAGGAAATAGAAGATGTTGAGTTTTTGTAAGAAGAAAAAGCGGAAGTGTTGAACATGAATACGGCCCGCCAGCTGCAGGATGTCTTCACAGTCGAAGCGCCGACGTTCTAGAACACGCGTGGTGTCAAAAACAGCTCTGTGGACGGAGAGCTTCCCAGAGTAAATACAAAATAACAATGCTTAAGCCAAAAAATGGCAAGGAAGACTTTGTTGGTGTTAAGTAGAGTACCTGAGTAGATAGATGTTTAGCAACTTGTTCTGGTGTCCCCCCAGGCCGCCTTGGACGGCGCAGAAGACGCCCTGAACGTGCACGACGAGCCGATCGGCTCTGCACTAAGGCTGCTGGAGGCAGCGGAGGCCTTCAACGTGTCGCAACCAGCAAACTGGTGCCTGAAGGTACGGCAGGACAGGAGCCATGCTCAGGCACGGTTCTGGATGGTCCACGCGTATCCAGAACTGTACTGTGGGAAATCTACACTCTTGGATACGCGAAGAGTATCCAGAACCGTGCCTAAACCCAACCCTCCTTCTCTGTAATTTACTCTATCAAGGTTTCTTTTGTTCAGACTGTGTCTTTCCTTCTACACTTCTTTCCTCCGTAGCCAAGTCATGACGCCAGTTTTACCCCCCCCCCCAGGGTAAGATCTCTCAGGAGTACAAGACCCATCACGTGAGTGTGTGGTCTTTCCGCAACGGTAAACTAGTCCAGAAGGTCTAAACAGCGCACAGCGCCGTGCAGAGCTGGTCATAACATCTTACCGCTCTGCACACGGACAGCATCAGCCGGACAGCAACATCTTTCCGCTCTGCATACTGACGGTCAACAACATCGACACAGTACAACGACGGGACAACATCATCTTACACCGTACAACGACGGGACAACAATATCTTACACCGTACAACGACGGGACAACAACATCATACACCGTACAACGACGGGACAACAACATCTTACACCGTACAACGACGGGACAACAACATCTTACACCGTACAACGACGGGACAACAACATCTTACACCGTACAGTATGAATGGTATGAATGGAGGGTGAATGGGTGAGTGAATGGGTGAGTGGATGAGTGGGTGAATGTGTGAGTGAATGGATGGCTGAATGAATGAATGAGTGAGTGAATGGGTGGTTGAATGGACGAATGAATGATTGAATGGATGGAGGTGTGGATGGATGAATGTATGAAGAATGGATGGAAGGATGGATGGATGGATGATAAAAAATACAAAAACCAAAAAAAGATAAAAACACAAAATACAAAAAATCTGGATCTCTCCATAAATGTTGAAATAACATGTTTCACCTTTATGCTGTTAAACGTAAACTACTATTGAAGCTATTGAAGGTGCTTACACCCTCAGAATTCCCTGTTTAAAAACAGATTTTGGGAAACCCTGGACTTGTCCTTGGTTGCAAGAAGATTATCTTCTTAAAAAAGCCCAAAACTTTGAGATGCAGATTTCTGCAGTGAAATATCTATGTCAGGACTAATGAAAAGCAAACGAAAACCTTC